TCATGGTTGTGTCATCTCACTGATACCAGGTTGTAGCCCAGTGTCGTGGTTTTGTCATCTCACTGATACCAGGTTGTAGCCCAGTGTCGTGGTTGTGTCATCTCACTGATACCAGGTTGTAGCCCAGTGTCGTGGTTTTGTCATCTCACTGATACCAGGTTGTAGCCCAGTGTCGTGGTTCTGTCATCTCACCGATATCAGCGGTTGTAGCCCAGTGTCATGGTTTTGTCATCTCACTGATACCAGGTTGTAGCCCAGTGTCATGGTTGTGTCATCTCACAGATACCAGGTTGTAGCCCAGTGTCGTGGTTTTCTTAGTTTCTTCTTGCACTTCTCAAGCAGCTTGGGTGATGGGTTTTCTTTTTTTTTTTATTTACAGGTTACAGCCTCACCATTTATCCACCTATTTCTTGGTCTTCCTCTTGCCTTTCCCGCAGCTGTTCTGCTTAAACAAAAATGTCATATGCAGTTTGGTCTCGCTGCATTCTCACCAGACAGCCAAATTTCATTTTTTATCGGTCATTTTTTTTTTTTCCACAATAAGAGAATTCGAAAATATTGTGATAATTGGACAGACTTTAAGAAAAAGAGATATAGGAAGACAATATGAAAAGGTTCTTGACATAAAAGAAAGTCAGCTTGCACGTTTTTACATAATGTTGAAAAGGTGTTGTGTCAAACAGCAGGTCTTTTACAGAATGTCCCTCTTTTCAAATCACACCTGACAATCTGTCTTTCTGTAGCTAGCTCTCCAGCCCTGAGTGCTTTCCTGGCCAGTGCATCTTCACTGCGCTTGACATGGCCAGACTACCCCAGCTTTCAGGATAGGATGCTGTTTATGAGCCAGTTTTCCTTGATTCTCCTGTATGTTATATAGGGAAGTATAATTACCATTGCTAGTCTGCAGTGCGACAGCTCACAGAAGCCAGCTTTAGGCCTCAGAAATAAGATATCTGAGAAAGGTGGTCCAAGTGCCAAGAAGGGATAAAGTCCACAATCAGACAATACGTCAAGATCTTGATACCCAATCCTCAAAAACCTGAGTGGATCAGTCACAGTTACGATGGTTTGGACATGTATGCAGAATGGTATAAAAGTGGTCACCGTGGAAGGGCATGGGAGGCTAAGAACCAGGGAACCAGATCTCCAGGGCGACCAAGGTTTCGTTGGGAAGACAACATCCGACTGTCCCTAACTGACAGAGGACTGGAATGGAACAAAGTATGGAAGAAAATTGCTGTTAGAACATCTGGCGATCTCTCTGGCAAACCCCTACACCCCAAGGTAAAAGAGGAGCGACTAAGTAAGTAAGTAAGTCTGCAATGCACTAGTTGATAATGTATGTGTTGTGATGTTAAAGGTGCAATGGTGTCAACAGTTATAAGTCAAAGAAGCTGGCACTGATAGAGAAAACATGTTTATTGAGGAATTGAGAACGTCCAAGAGAAACCGTGAAACTAACATTGCTGAGGGAAACTAGAAGTGCTCTACTGAATTACATCCATGATACTGAAACATTTGAACAGTGGAGGTCCCAGGTTCAGAGCCCAGCTGGGATTTTTTCACATGGACTTCTAGTAATTTTCTTTGGTCTCTGTGTAGTTAGATCGGATGCCCGTGTGTATTATTTATTACACACATTTTAAAAATCCCTTGGCAGTTGGAAATCGAAAAGAGTAGCCTAACGGTGTTGTCTGTGCAAAATTTGGAGTTGAAAATCTACCCAAAGTATTTCAGGACGGTTCAACGGAGTTCATTCACTGCACTGAGATTCTTAGGACTTAGTCTTGTGTCAGAAGTAGAGAAGAGCACTTATGGGTTGCCCCTTGTGCCCTGATGTTGATCTGTTGTCTAAACCTAAACCTAGAATGAAATTGAAGAATAAACTAAACCCTATGTGATGTACAATGTTGCAACAGCATGATGATGATTATGTTAAAATCACAATGAATTTCTCTTCTATGCAGACAGAAGCAAACTGTATCAACTGATGAGGGTGCTGGTAGCAGCGGCACCCTACAGGAGGTGCCGCACACACCTCATTCGAACATTCCCAGAACACCCCAAGCCACCATCCCATGTACACCTCAGTCCGTCATCTCCCCTGCTCCTCAAGACGTGGTTGTTCCCATCTTGAGGGAGTTTTCCAGTCAGGACGATGCATCCATCCAGGAACCGGGGTCCATATCCAGTATGGATATCTTCTCCCCTTCTGTGCCTACACCAAGTAAATCTAAGAAAAGGTAAGCAAACATTCAGGCCTAAATTCAGTAGAGGTTTAAAGAAAAAGGTAGGTGAATAATCAAGACTGCACCAAGTAAAAGTATTTGATTGGATTTGATTCAAGAACCGACATCACAGCACTCGGGGCATTCCCATAAGCACCAAGTAAAGGTAAGAAAAGATAAACAATTATGCAAGTCTACACCTAATAAATCTAAGACAATGTAAATTAGACATACATAAATTATCCCCATAAACTTGTTGCATCAATTCAACTGTTGCAATGGTGCTTTTTCTGAGTTTTAAACATAATTTAATGTTAGCCTTTTTGCTCCATGCTGATTACGTAACAGTGCACCTCTGACTAGGTTAACAAAATGGCGGCTTGTTTGTTGTCTGCTTATGGGGCTGCGATGAAACGTTGCCAGATCATAGACGAAGGTTGCCTCTTTGGATTCCATGCTGTGATTCATAGATGGTATTTTTGCTTTAGCCATAATAAAATCAGTTTCATTACTTAATTGTCGGACCTTGTACCTACGCATAGAAAATCTGAGAAAAGATAAGTGGACACACATACCTCCACCTAGTAAAAGTACGAAATGGCAAGCAGGATGCATGCCTACACCTACTAAATGTTGGAAAAGGTCAGCCGACATGCCTGCGTACACCTAGTAAATGTGAGAAAGGTTCAGTACATACATGCCTACATCCCAAATGTAAGGAAAGTCAAGTAGAATGCATACCTACACCTAGTAAATGTGGGGAAATGAAGTAGACATACACACCTTCATCTAGGAAACATATGGAAAGTTCAGTACATACATTCCTACATCCAATATTTATAAGGAAAATCAAGCAGATGTGCACACCTACATCTAGAAAATGTAAGGAAAGTCAAGTAGATATGAACACCTACATTTAGTAAAAGTAAGGAAAGTCAAGTAGGCATTCATACCTACATCTAGTAAATGTTAAGACAGTGAAGTAGACAGGCATACCTACTTCTAGTAAATGTAAGGAAAGTCAAGTAGACATACATACCTGTGTCTAGTACATGTGAGGAAAGTCAAGTAGACATGCATACCTACATCTAGTAAATGTAAGGAAAGTCAAGTAGACAAGCATACCTACATCTAGTCAATGTAATGACAGTCAAGTAAATATGCATACCTACATCTAGTAAGGACAGTCAAGTAGACATGCATACCTACATCTAGTAAGGACAGTCAAGTAGACATGCATACCTACATCTAGTAAGGACAGTCAAGTAGACATGCATACCTACATCTAGTAAATGTAAGGACAGTCAAGTAGACATGCATACCTACATCTAGTAAGGACAGTCAAGTAGACATGCATACCTACATCTAGTAAATGTAAGGACAGTCAAGTAGACATGCATACCTACATCTAGTAAGGACAGTCAAGTAGACATACATACCTACATCTAGTAAGGACAGTCAAGTAGACATGCATACCTACATCTAGTAAGGACAGTCAAGTAGACATACATACCTACATCTAGTAAGGACAGTCAAGTAGACATACATACCTACATCTAGTAAGGACAGTCAAGTAGACATACATACCTACATCTAGTAAGGACAGTCAAGTAGACATGCATACCTACATCTAGTAAATGTAAGGACAGTCAAGTAGACATGCATACCTACATCTAGTAAGGACAGTCAAGTAGACATACATACCTACATCTAGTAAGGACAGTCAAGTAGACATACATACCTACATCTAGTAAGGACAGTCAAGTAGACATGCATACCTACATCTAGTAAGGACAGTCAAGTAGACATGCATACCTACATCTAGTAAGGACAGTCAAGTAGACATGCATACCTACATCTAGTAAGGACAGTCAAGTAGACATGCATACCTACATCTAGTAAGGACAGTCAAGTAGACATACATACCTACATCTAGTAAGGACAGTCAAGTAGACATACATACCTACATCTAGTAAGGACAGTCAAGTAGACATGCATACCTACATCTAGTAAATGTAAGTGCAATGTGCTTGTTTTTACTTGCACTGGCTGTTGTCTAGGAGATGATGTGTATAGTGAATGCTCTTAGCACACACTCTACGATGGCATAACTGGGACAAGCCGACACCGACTTAGCTGTACGATACATCAGTTTATTGACATCTTATCACTTACGTAAACGTCCTGTCCGTGTCCTGATATACAGCTTGCACACACCACATTACTCAGACTCCAACATGCTGGTTTCTCACACTGTCACTGAGCAGAGTTCGCACAGATGGATCTGGTTATTCTCCTCGGCTTCACACAGACTGGCCTGGCTGGTCTTGGCTTCAGATGGATGTCGTCGTCTGATCTTCCTTTCACAGCAATCAGTCTCACGTTGTGATTCTCTCGATCACTCTCCCGTCCTTTCACTCCGACAGTCAACACATACTAACTCATACTAACTGGGGTCTGGTATTATACCCAGTGTTCGTTCCACGTGGCAACACGGGGTTGTTTCTTGGGTTTCACATGGCAACCTGTGGTCGTTCTCCTTCCACATGATAACTCATGGTCGTCCCCTATCTTGAAAACCTCATTTAATCCGAATATCTGACTTCTCTCGGTATTATTGTTAACTTGGTTCTTCTTCCCCCCCCCCCCCCCCCCCCCCTTCCCAATCAGGGTGAAAATATCCCCCATTACAGTAAGAAAGTCAAGTAGACATACATTCCTACATCTAGTAAATGTTTAAAAAAAAGTCAAGTAGACACGCAGGCCTTATGATTACTACTACTGTCTACGTCGTATACACATACTCATCCATATCTAATAAGTATATTTTTCCTCTGTTAGAAACTGCCATGGTGTAGCGGCTAGATGCTCACCTTGTACCTGTAGGTTACAGGTTTAAATTCACATCGAACCAGGTTTTGTTGTTGCTTAAAATGACCTTGACACCCAGGTCGACCCAGCGTACAATGGCTGCCAGCTAAAGTCCTTGGAAGTAGAGGTGGCTGGCATAATACTGACCACATCATCCATTGATCGGTCTGTAAATTATAAGTCTAGCACCCCCGTGTGGGTTCCAGGGCCGCATTGTGGGGAAAACAATAATAGACCCACTGCCTCCCCAAAAGCATGTCGTAAGAGTCAACTAATTGAGGAGCTTCCTTTGAAGTCGGAGTGCATCTGCCGGAGAGGCAAGGAACCAACAGTCTGTATTCAAGAGAATGAGATCTGTAAAACTGATGCACACGCAACACTCAGCTTCTGGAGCAGGACTGCAGTTCAGTAGTGGACGAGCAACCAGAACCTTCCGCCAGAGTTTACAGCTGGTGAACGTGAAGAAGAAGAAGAAGAAGAAGAAGAAGAAAAAAAGAAAAAGACGAAGAAGAAGAAGAAGAAGAAGAAGACAAGTCTAGCACTGTGTGCTGAAAATGCCTAATAGCACGGCACAGGGTCCTGTACTTTTACTCTTTTTTTGTGTGTGTGTTTCAATTTTACTGTTTTCTTTTTCTTTTCAGGAAAACCAGCTACCCGAATAAAGGAGCGAATGAACCACAGACGTAGCGGTGGCTGTATCTATGAACACATGGAATGTTCGGCTGACTTTTAGTCTTCTTCTTCTTTTCTCTGCATGCCGTGTTGGGATTTACAGCTAGGCTGTGAAATCTAGCCTTTCAGCACGACACATCCGATTTCATGAAACCTTTTCATTAGTCCCATTTTACGACATATGACTGTTGCTTAGAAGTTAGTGAATGCGTTTGATTTCCCTGACTTTGGTTTCTTTTTCTTCTAAAAACTGCCCCTCGGGGGGTTCTGGGGTCCCATTGTGGGTTATGGGGTCCCATTGTGAGTTCTGGGGTCCCATTGTGGGTTCTCAGGTCCCATTGTGGGTTCTCAGGACCCATTGTGAGTTCTGGGGTCCCATTGTGGGTTTTTGGGTCCCATTGTGAGTTCTGGGGTCCCATTGTGGGTTCTGGGGTCCCATTGTGAGTTCTGGGGTCCCATTGTGGGTTCTCAGGTCCCATTGTGGGTTCTCAGGACCCATTGTGAGTTCTGGGGTCCCATTGTGGGTTTTTGGGTCCCATTGTGAGTTCTGGGGTCCCATTGTGGGTTCTGGGGTCCCATTGTGAGTTCTGGGGTCCCATTGTGGGTTCTCAGGTCCCATTGTGGGTTCTCAGGACCCATTGTGAGTTCTGGGGTCCCATTGTGGGTTTTTGGGTCCCATTGTGAGTTCTGGGGTCCCATTGTGGGTTCTGGGGTCCCATTGTGAGTTCTGGGGTCCCATTGTGGGTTCTCAGGTCCCATTGTGGGTTAAGGGGTTCCATTATGAGTTCTGGGGCCCCATTGGTTCCATTGTGGGTTCTGGGGTCCCACTGTGGGTACTGGGGTCCCATTGTGGCTTGTGGGTTATGGGGTTCTGTTGTCTGTTCTGGGGTTCTGTTGTCTGTTATGGGGTCCCATTGTGGGTTATGGGGTTTCATTGTGGGTTATGGGGTTCCATTGTGGGTTCTGGGGTTCCATTGTGGGTTCTGGGGTTCCATTGTGGGTTCTCAAACCCCATTGTGAGAAAGAAAAAAGAACAGACTCACTACTCCCTACAAGCATTTCGTAAGAGTCAACTAATTCGAGGTTTCCTTTAAAGTCAGAGTGCATCTGCCTGAGAGGCCAAGAACCAACAGTCTGCATACAAATAAGCCGGATGTGTCAAATGGATGTGCACGTAAAACTCAAAAGTTCTGCAACAATGCTACAGTCCAGAAATAAACAAATAACCAAAACTTTCCATCAGAGTTTACAGTAAGTGAACGCAAACAAAGGAGGAGAGATTTTTAAAAACCGCTCTCATAGTTTTTGAACTGATGGGAGAGTCACACCATGGAAGTTATTGGTGCCTCACTGTGTCATATTTCCAAAGAGAGCAGTGGCTACTACACTGTAGTCAGCATTCACTGTAGAGGTGGTGTACTGTTCGTTTTTAATTAAAAGACATGTTATGTTTTGTTGTCGGCTCTGTGGATAAGTTGATGCAAACGCTTCGTAATGCCCGGTTCATTCCCAGCTGCGGGCCATGCGCCTTGCGTTGGTTTCGACAGTGGTATCAAGAAAGCTGACCGTCCAGAAAGCAGTGGCAAACTACTGGATATAAATTTGCCTAGAAAAACCACACAACAGCCAGGGGCTCTTGGGGTTGGTTCTGCAGCGTCCTGTTAAGGATACACAACTTCAGTAACTGTTTTGTTATGTTGTCACAATCAACATCACTGCATATTGGGCATTGCCATGCATGCTCAGTCCTCCAATGCAGCAGCCTCTCCGAGGTACCTCTGCTAATTGTTCCCATGAGGAGTTGGTTGTAGTGTCTCCTATTTCACTCTCAAAGGCGGCATAGACAAACTTCATCATGCTTTACTCCCATGTCATGCAGTTGTGTTAAGTGTCAAAAATTCATCATTGTTCACTAGCCCAGTCCATACAGCATTGATGACATCTGCTCTATCCAGGCTTCTTCGGCATGCCTTGGTGCATTGCTTGCCAGCTGGTCCACTTGTTCATTAATTTGAGGACATACCTTTTTGTGTATGTATAATTGGTGTTTTTCTGTGTAAATAAGGATCTTTGGTAGCTATTTTAGTTAATTCTTGAAAAAAAGGTGCGCAGGACCTGGTGCTCCATCGTCTTGCTTATAACGATCAATGACGCAACAGCTGGGCCTCTCTCAATCTGTTGAGATCAGCATGAAGAGGGAAATCCCTGTTGAATGGGAAGGGTAATATTGATGAGTATATTAAGCTTTCCTTTAGGCTCTGGTTAATTAAATTGTATAGGCAATGAAAGTCAGCTCAGGGACTGGATGCAGTTTCATAATTCTAATTTCCCAGTGTTTGAAGTCTGCTGGAGATATTTTGGTAACAGACCACTGGGTGGATTTTGACAATATATGAGCTTTGCACTGTTCAGAGGCAAACAGCAAACTATTGAGCATTACAATGATGGTTAAGGAAAACCATACAACTGGTAATGAATGCTGGAGTTTGCTTGTGTTTATATATAAAGTACATTAACGACTAGGTAGTTCGGTTCCAGGGCGCAGTTTTTACAGAGATTACTGGGGATTGTCACCAGAGCTACAGAGGTAATAGTTTGTGTGCTGCTCTTGGCAGGCTAGCTGTTCTGCGGAGAGAGAGCAAGCCAGATGGGACAGGCGGGCCGCCATAAAGAAAACACAGGGGTTCCCACCCGACAAATATTAGCGTGTGTGTCCTAGTCCCTCCTTAAATTATTAAAATATTTCAAACCACGCCCTCTTCGCCACCTAGTCCACACACAAATAGTGGGGAAGGGCCTCAGCCCCGCCTCTGATTAATTAGGAAAACAGTTGCGGGTGAAACTGTTCAGCTGAGACATTTTGTGACAGAGGTCGGCTGGCTGGTAGACGACTTCGTCGCCGGTCGCGACAGTATTTGGGTCTGTCTCCATTGATCACATCAATACTGCAGGAGAATGCTAGGAATAAAGCCAGTCTTACAGGTCATCAGAGAACAACAAATGAAGTGGTTTGGACACCTAACAAGAATGCCCTGATACTATCCACCACAGCAAGCCACACTAAAACGTTATAACGGGTATAGAGGGAGTGGAAGACCTCGGAAAATATGGAGTGATGGCATTAAGAACAGCCTTACAGAAATGAACATCAGTCTTAATAGTGCTCTTGACAGAGCTCATCAACGAACATTACATCTCCCCCTGACTCTTCGATGAGGTTCAAGGTGGAAGAGAAGAAGAAGAAGAATACTGCAAGAGTACTTTTTAGGGCTACCTAGGGGCGAGCAATTCTAAGCCATTTAATATGGCGCAAATAAACCTAGTCACAATTATAACCAAAAGCTCTGCCCTTTGTGAGATGCTGGTTGAATGTGACGATTGTTAGTTTTTTTTTTTTTTTTTTTTTTTTTAATGTTAAAACGAATAATTTTAGATACATGGGGTAAGTACAGCATCTAAATGTTATAGAAGACAGCAAGAGATAACATCTTCGGAAAGACCATGAAACCAAGACACGCACTTTGAATTGTTGGGTACTAAAAGAGGGCGACAGGAATGTTGGACATATTTCCCATGGAGAGCAGATGGGTCCATAAACTGACATTATACATCAACGTAAACAAAGTTCTTTGGTCATGTAATGAGAAAAAGAGCACTGGGAAATATTGGAGAGATCACTGGTAGAAGAGGCAGACCAAGAGAAATTATAGTGGCTTGCTTAAGACAGTGGCATGGAGGAATATCATCGGTGGAATTTTTCCAGAATGCCAAAAACCGAGATCTGTGGCGACGCATGAAGGCCAGCTGACAATGTACTTGATGATGATGATACGTCAATGTCCTTCAAACCCATGAGCCGCGGGAAAGTCCAGGTGGGCAGCAAAGGATAGTTTTTTTTTTTTTCATGACAGCAGTCTGCAAAACATTGATAACTAACGAAAACGAATAGATATTATTGCAGCGCTTTGTATATCAGAAACAGCGTTCTATCTACATATAACGGATTGTCTATGCAGCAGCCGTCATCGTATTAGCAGCCGAAGATTTTAATTATATGACATTGGAGTTAATAAATAAACTGCTGTCCGCATAAGTGTTTGCCTCTGTGTTTGGTTAGCTGCCAGATGGGTCGTGAAGAAGTGTCCACTGTTTGGGTGGGCGGCGGGTGTTAACGAATAGGTTTGAGGTTTTTGAACAACAGATCAACCTCACGGCACATGGGTAGTAAC